GTGTGTTTGTGTGTGTGTGTGTGTGTGTGTGTGTGATTGTGTTGTAAGCGGCACGGCCCATCGGCAGACGGCAAGGGTCGGACTGGGCCCCGGACGCCATCGCGTCTTCCTTACTGCCAACAAGCCGCGACCCGCCGGCTCAGCCCGCCCCAGGTGACCGGACACCGGACGCCCTCCAGCCAGCCCCCCAGCCAGAAGACCCCTCCCCCACGCAACCCCAGTCCCCGCCCCATCGACTTTCCCCTGTTCCCCGCCCCTTGACGCTCCTCCTCCGCTTCGCTTTTCCGCCGGCACAGTCCTTCCCCTCCCTCCCCTCGCCGGCGCGCTTGCGCCCCGTGCCCCCTGCTCGTGCCTCCTGTGACGCTATCGGTACGGCAGCCGCAGCCGCAGGAGCACCCATACCGCGCCGTGGCGTGTCGTACGCTCGTACCTACCTCCAGCTCCGTCAGCTTCGCCGGCAGCTTCTTGAGCCCCTCCACCTGCTGCTCCAGGGAGGCGCACCGCGCCCGCCATTCCTCCAGCTGCACCTCCAGACTCACAGTGGTGGCCTGTTCCGCCGCCAGGGTGGTCTGGGCCTGAATCGGTAAGAGTTGGTGAAGTCCAGGGGGAGGGTTAAGTCGGAGGGGGAAGGTTAAGTCGGGGGGAGGTTACGTCCCGTGAAGGGGGGGGGGGATGGCTAAAGTCCAAGGAGGGTAAAGTTGTCGTGCGGGTTCGGGAGGCTACGGTGGCAGACCCAGATGGCCGCTTTGCAATTACGTGCGGCCTGCGGATTGGGATGTATCGCATCGATCGCCCTATCCTCTTTGCGTTGCCATCGTTGCCAGGGTCCTCTCGAGATGCCATCGCTTTCGAGGGAAGCGCGCCTCCTGTTTCGGGTCAGAGGACGCACGGGTTTGTGGCCCCAGGCACAAACCCCAGCAACTACACATTCTGTGCGGGGCGACACGAATCGCAGGGTGTGTCGCGGGGCCAGGATCATTTGACTTGCCGGGCTGAGACTCAGTCCAGGGCTGCAGTCCACAACCCAACGGGCCAATCTGTCATGAACCCCGCAACCCGCAACCCCGCGCACCTGTTCGAGCTCCTGCTGCTTGAGCTGCATGAGTCGCGATATGCTTTCATAGTTCCGCTGGACTGACACGAGGGCAAGGGTTTTGTCCCGCAGCTCCTCGGCGATTGCGTCCTCTGCCCGGTCTGTGCCGCCGGCCCGGCGCTGCATGATGGTCCGCAGTTCTGCACCTCGTATATAGGATCCCCCTCCGAATGCTCCCTACGAAGCTGGCTCCCTGGCCGCTAAAAGAGGAAGAATGCTGCCCGCTGCCCAGGCCATCGTTGTCCGCCTTCAACGCGCACCAGTGAAGGCCTGAGCGCCGCTTTCGTTAAGTCTTCAACATATCTAGCTGCCACACCTAACACTGGTGCAAGTTTTGTCACGAGGGACGTGTATTACAAGTCCAGCTAGAAACTTGAATCTGTCAGCTTCGCTTGCAGGTTCGCATTCCAAGATGATATCGCATTTGAAGTGTCATGGTCATCGTCTGGAGGTAAGTCACAATAAAAAACGACGGAGGATTTTGGGAAAATGGAACACAAAGGCTGTAAAAATTATCGGGTTCTGCTAACGGTTACAGGCGCCTGAAGGTGCAAAATGAAATGTATTGTTATAAGCTCCAACTGTCAGCAGAGTATCTAGCTAGCGCACAGCCGTTTGTTTGTCCGACACTCCCTAACCAACTACGGTTCACCTTTGATGCGTCTGCCTGAACGGCCGGGCAGACCTCCGTAAGAGCATATCCATTGTTAGCTCGGGACTGATTGGGTCCATTGGGAGTGGCCGTGCCGAACCCGCGCATGGGACGCGGAGGCCACTTACCTCCACTTCCACAGCGGTGGTGCCCCCCGGAATACCGGCATTCCTCGCAAACATCGCAACGACGTATCTCAGCAGCCCAAGGAGGGCTTCATGGCAGTAAAATTGCACCTCACATCGTAAATAACTCATGACAAGCGGCCCTGGGGATGCAATCGCGGTTCGCACAGCCGGTTCGCACACGGTTCAAAACAGGCAATACCCAGCAATACCCGAAATACGCCCCCAGCTCACGGGCCCCCCGCCCGCCAGTTGTGTTGAAGCTTGAGATTAACAAGTTTTTATTTAAGCCATAAGCACGAGACTCAGACACAAGTTCACGGGGACGCCTCGTCGGTGGAGTCTGTTGGGTCCCGACGATACGCTTGCAGTCCGTTGCCAAGCCTGCCTTTGTAGCAGGGACCAAAATGGCTGTGGCGCATCGTCCAGCTTACGCTGTCAACTCGGCCAGGACGGCCCGTCCAAGCCGAGGAGTGAGTGCTGCATCATGTCCGGGGTATTGCCGCTACTGCTGCGGTGTGCCTTGGAGCATGAAAGCCGACTCTGCGTTGCCGCCGAGGCTATCCGTACGAAGAGCACTTTGAGGCCATTCATCCACAGTACATAACAATGCAGCAGGACGCATAAGACTGTTCTCATCCGGGATTGAACCGGAGACCTTCAGAGTGTAAATCTGACGCGATAACCTCTACGCCATGAGAACCGATGACATTGGGGTGTTAGTACAAAATGATATTGCAATGCAGCCATGTGGCCTCGGCCGCACGTTGTGGTTCGCTTAGCGGCTCGCTCTCCTTTCGTGGGGAAGGCGCTGGGGCTGTCCAGCTTGTCGCAACTGTAGGCTTCGGTCACGACAGTGTCGGGTGCATTACGTGCATTACGCACCCGCTGTCCACTGAAAACCTTCTTATTCCGGTTGCGCAGTTTGCAAAGTATGGCGTCTAGCAGACGCCACTGCCAGCAAAAGCTGAGAGCTGCGCGGTGTTCTGGGTTACCGCATGCGACACTGCTCACAACAAGGGGTTGGTGTCGGCTTCCTTGAAGCCGGAAAAAGGGCGGGGCCCCGTTCAATCCGTATGGTTTAAGTTGAGTGCTAGGGCGGCGAGGGCGTGAAGTGTGAGAGTGTCGACATTCCTGCTGATAGACAGCCAGAGCTGTATATCCGAAATGCCTGCGGCTTCAGCAATCCGCCCCATGTATAGCATCGCGCTCCGTCTCGGCACTGTGCAACTCTTCCCGCGAGCGCATTGCTTGGCTTAAGTAGCTTGACAGTAGACATACATGGAGTGTATCATTCACATATCACGCAGGCTGACTTGCAAATAGAAGGACAGCGGATCTGTTTGCGAGGGTCGCGACGACGTGCACTTGCCGCCGACGGGAGTGCACAGGCTTCGCTACCAAGGTATCCGCCGTATCGTAGAGCAGGCTTCACAACTTTAACATTAGGACAGGGACGGTAGAAGTCCCCTAGGTTGCCGACTGCACTTGTTGGGCGGCCCGCAGAAGACCGCCGCGTCGTGCGTGCAATTTGCCGCTTGGCGTCCGACAACCAGCAGTTCGCCCCTAATGGTTTGTCCCATGCAACCTTTGTTGTTATAGTAATATGCGTCAAGTCGGTCGGACCAGCTAGCAGAGCTGCTGTGGTGTGGTCGCGGGAAGAATGTTCGCAATGCAAACTTAGTTGGTCGCCGAAACGAAGATTCATTTCACGCCGTCATGTCAGAAATCCACTTTGAGGAACGATGAATCTTCGGTAATTAATTATAGGCCGAGAGGTGTTGGTTTGACCTCGGCCTCGGTCCATGGAGACTGCCAAACTGGTTTTTACTCATGCGATGTTGGGTTCCTATAATAAATTTACCATGCAATAAAGAATGTAATATTTTACATGTGCAGCCTTTAAGTTGGCCGAGAGTCTACACTTTGGTTAGGACACCACAGTCCACAGTCCACAGTTCACAGGCACGGACATGGGCAATCCTACAGGGCGGGGCCCCCCTGGGCGCTTCGCGCTGGGGCCCCGCCCAAAAACTCCGACCCGTGGGTCAATACGGTGCAACGCAGCCCGGGCCCGTGCGGATGTTCACAGCGACCGGCAGCGATAACAAACAGTGTCAAGTGCGGTGTTGGAGCCGTTTCACCGGCGCTGCTCAGGGTCCGCTGTAAACCGGTTAGGTCCGTTTGGTTCGAGCTCTGGAGTCCCCTTCAATACATACGTTGCATCACCTGCTTATCAACAACGCAAACGCAGCGAGAGAGCTTCCGTTCCGCTTCGCTTCCAGCTGTCGTGCACCGTTGGTGTCGGTACATTTCCGGGACAAATGCCCGGTGAGGGCGCGGAGAGACGCTAGGAGGGACCCTCGAGCGTATCCGAACGTATCTCCATCTCATGGGAGATATTTCGGTCGTACTGCTCGTCCAATCGAGCTTCTACCTAGGCGCGAGCGCTTCCTGCTGGAAGCGCTTCGCTTGGTCATTACGATGCCTGAAGATATATGATTCTGTAACATACGGTCAGGTCCTCAGCATCGACATTCGCTGCGGCATTAGCCCAAGCCGCCACAATGATGCTTCACATGCACTAGCGCGGCGCTGGCCAGGCCTGATCAACCTGGCTGGCTGCCTTATCGCTTGTGCATTCTAGTAGTTAGCTCAGCAACACTGTCGCTCGCGCGCGCAAAGGCGCCGAGCTCGAACCTCAAGCTAGGAAGAAGGAGCGCGGCCTCGCCCCAGCGGTCAGGCCTCGGGGCCAGTACTGGATGCAGTGAGCCCGGCTGCAGTCCACACCAGCCGAGCCCACACCAAGCGAAGCCAAGCCCTTGCACCCGTCCGCGAGCGGCTTTCGGGCTTCGGCACCTAGCTGAGGTCTGCAGACCATAGCTAGGTGTTAATTTCCAACGGCACGCACGCCGTTTGGACGGTAGCCGCGAGAGCTGCCACATCGCTGCCACGGAGCACTAGGTCAGGTCCTCGCGCCACGAGGCGCTCATCACTCTGGAAGCTTTACAAGACGCAATGTCAGCCTTTCAGCTCGCCGACGCCTTCGAACGTCTTCCAAGTGCGCGACGAGTATGATGCCCCGCGCTATACACAGGGCTCCTACCTCGCGTGCCCGCATCGCCAGCCGACCGGCGTCACCTAAGCGCTTTAAACAGGGCTCAGGCCGCCCACCAGGCGGGCCTGTGTGGCCCGGGCGTCTTGTGGCCTGACCCTGTTTAAAGCGCTTAGGTGACGCCGGTCGGCTGGCGATGCAGGCACGCTAGGTAGGAGCCCCGTCTCTCGCGGGGCATCATACTCGTCGCCCACTTGGAAGACGTTCGAAGTCGTCGGCGTCGTCGGCGAGCTGAAAGGCTGACATTGCGTCTTCTAAAGCCTCCAGCGTGATGAGCGCCTCGTGGCTCGAGGACCTGGCCTAGGTCCTGAGCTGCTCCGTGGCAGCGATGCGAAGCTGCTGGCGTAGATTTGTATGTGTGTGTGTGGGGGGGGCTTGGCAGTACGCAGGACCGCAGCCCCGTTGTCCCCAGACAACCTTCAAGGGTGGGCTAGGATTTGTTTGCTCAGCGCCGGGTGCGGCCAGTGACGGCTGTTTTGCAGCCTGTCTTCCGAGGACCTCCAATGCCCGCTAGCATGCAGGCCGCCCGGAAAATGCCGCGCTGGAGCTGTTGCTGCGGTGCGGCCTGTCACCCTGTTTTCACCCTTTGTCGTTCAGCTGTGCTGCTAGGGTGCATTACGGTAGTTGCGGAATGCGGGTATGGTAGGAAAAGAACGGAATCAAGGAAAGAGGAGAGGAGGACAGGCAGTTGTCTGCGGCCTGGCCCGGACAAAGTGCAAGCGGCACGGATGTAAACATGAATCGCAGGCGGCTGTGGGCCCTGTGTCCCTCCGCGTCAAACGGCGAAAGGCAATCGTGGAAGGGAGGATCGCAGATCGCGCCTCCGTGTGGCCCCAGCTAGAGAGCTCGTGCAGAGACCCGGTTTGGCCTTGGCTTCAGCTGCTTGGAACGGTTAGCGCACAGTCAAACCGCGCGGCATCGCCGATGAGTCTACTACGCCCGGGAAGGGAGGGGGGCAGCCCCGCTGCAGGCGGAGATCCGTCAGTTACTTGCCTCAGTTGCCTATTGCTGCAAGTGTGCAGATCAACGCTTGCGCTTTCGATAAATCGGCTGTGTCCTGCGCCATGTCGCAGCAGCTCTTGGCCACGGACGGGTTCACCAGCGCGAGTCGGCCGTGTCTGCCTGTGCCCTCAATCGGTGCGTTTTCCGCCTGCAGTCAAATTATCAATACTTGCAGTAGATCCACAGAAGCCTCAGAATAGCAACTGTCAGGGCTGGCCCTGGCAGCTGCTGACCTCGACAGATCGCAACTAGAAACTGTCCCCCCAAAGCGTTGCCTGAAGGTCGTAACACTGAAACTGTTTCTGCATACGTTTGATGAATCCCATCACGTATCGGCCAAACAGTTGGTCAGTTGACAAATCAAGGGATCGAGGATCGTCGCCACAACGAGTACATATGAAAAGGCACTGCGCCGCGGGTGGCTTAGCTTTGCATCATCTGCTGGGGTTAAGGAATAACTTCCTAAGGCATGCGTCCCCGAGGAAACCCTCGTGCCTCGTCCCACTGGTTTCGGCCGTATTGTCGTACAGTTAGCGCACTGGCATCCTTCGCCGTGAGCACTGGGAAAGTTGAATCTCTACCGTTTCTCCAATGGTGGCTGGGTGTCAAAGGTCTCATTGCAAGCCGGCAATTACACGCAATGCATGCCCGAGCCGTCCCACATTGAATCAGCTTTCTTATTTAATCAATCCTCACTGCGATAGGTTCAACACATTGTTTTTTGACCACCGATGACCGCCACGTGGCTGACCGCCACCGGCGAGACGCTACGCGTGCGAGAAGTATGGGGAGACAATCTCGAAGCAGAGTTCACGCTTATCCGGGACATCGTAGAGGCCTACCCCTATGTGGCCATGGACACAGAGTTCCCCGGGGTGGTGGCCAAGCCAATTGGGACGTTCAAGAGCAGCCGGGAGTACCTCTACCGAGCGCTGAAAATGAACGTGGACATGCTCAAGCTTATCCAGCTTGGTCTCACGTTCACTGACGCCAAAGGCAGCCTTCCGCACATGAATGGGGAGCTGTGCGTTTGGCAGTTTAACTTCAAGGGCTTTCGCCTTGCGGACGACGTCTACGCACAGGACAGCATCGAGCTGCTGAAGCAGTCGGGCATCGACTTTGCGCTGCACGAGGCGCGGGGCATTGACGTGCACCGGTTCGGGGAACTGCTTATGACGTCCGGAATCGTGCTCAACGACGACGTGCGGTGGATTACCTTCCACAGCAACTACGACTTCGGCTACTTGTTGAAAATTTTGACTTGCCAGCCGCTGCCCAACACGGAGCAGGAGTTCTTCGAGCTGCTCAACATCTACTTCCCCAACATCTTTGACATCAAATACCTCATGCGCTACTGCGACAACCTCCACGGTGGGCTAAACAAGCTGGCCGAAATGCTCGAGGTGCAGCGCATCGGGCCGCAGCACCAGGCCGGCTCGGACAGCCTGCTCACGTCCTTCACCTTCATCAAGCTGGCCGACAAATTCTTCCACGGCATCGAGGGCGCATCGAAGCACATGGGGGTGCTGTTCGGCCTAGGTGAGCGGGGCGAGAAGCCACGCAGGGGTGTCGGCGGTCCCAGCAGA